GTTTATTGTATTTGTAAATTGTATGTTTTTGTCTCCCCCTTCTTGTTTAATGTGGACTAGTCCCTGTGCTATAAATGTGGTCTGTCTTGTCATTTCAGGGAGTTCTGTTTTTGGTTTAGACATGATTTGTTTGGTTTGAACTCAGTTTGTTTTCCTTGTTTAGTTTATTGTTCTTTCAATTGATTTAATTATTTAATTAATTTATTTTTGAACTTTTTGTAAACCTTTTTGACTTTATTAAAAATAATTATTTTTGAAAATCTTCTTTTTTGTATGCCCCTTACTGTACGTGCTGGCTCGGTCCCTCACACTCAGATGCCCATTTATTGTATTTATTTTCTTTTTAATTAGATCTATTAGTGTATTCATTCATGTATTGATCTTTCATTCTGATTATTCATGTATTGAGATGTTATAGGTTGTCTCATGACTATGTGTACTTTTGTATCAACCTGAGTCACAAATAACCTGTGTCTTCTGTTTTTCTATTACTTTTGTTGATTGAAAAACAATAAAATAAAATACAAAAAAGATTGTGTTCATAGCATGGGCGTTGGTAGGCTTATTTAGGGCGGCTGTAGCACCCCTTTATTTCTACTCAGCCCCCCTAAAATTTTTGCAGTTAGCTCATAAACTTTACACTAAATTATCGCCTCAGTCCCCTTGAAATTTGATTAGACAATGACAGCAGAATTCGGCTCCTCCTCGTCTTTGTTATTCATTTGATCAGCAAACCACAGCCGTGGACAGCGAGAGAATGAGGTGTGCGTTTATTGATAAATTGATATAATATCTGCTTATTTGCAGTTCTTTGATATACATAACCTTGTATCACCTGTATCCCAATGCCACGGAGGAGCAGTCGGATTTTCTTGGCGTTCACCTCATCAGCACAGCTGTTGTCTCCAGTAAGAAATGTAACTCTTTACATTTCGCTATTTTTATTTCAAAATGAACTACCAATATTAAACACTTTACAGTTTGTGTGGCATTAACTATACCATACAGTCTTGCAATGAAAGAATTAACCACAGTGACAGAAGCACTTAGAGAATGTACACTGCAAATTTTAGATAGTAGATTTAACTACCTTAGAGTTAAAATTAACACTCTCTCAGAGTTTATATGGGAACCACTAAAAAGTGTTAAAAATAACACTTTTAAAAGTGTTAACATTATCAACACTGAGAAAGTGTTAATTAGCAAACTATTATAGTGTAAATTATCTGTTAAATTTATGAAAAAATAGCAGCAGCTGTGGTTGCCAAAATATTTCTCTGAAAAATATGAAAGTTTTATAGAACTGTATAAATTCCCGAAAAATAACCATGTTTCATGAACTGATACAATGTTCAGTTTACAAAATCATAGCTTAGTGCACAAAAACGTAAAATCATTAGATGCAATAATGTGTTTATGTGTGATTGCAATTAACAAACTGATTTTCACTGCAGCAGTAACTACATAGTTACTTTACACAAAAGAAGATGCAGCATAACATCAAATACTCTCAGTTCATCTTGGACTTGAACACAGACGCTATTATCCTCCACAATGGTGACACAAAAACCGTTTTTCTGTTTTTTTTTTTTTTTCCTTTTTTGATTTTACTGAAAAATACCAGCAGCTGTGGTTGCCAGTAATCTATTGTTTTTACCATTTTACATTCGTAAATTCAGTTTACAGAATGTTTCTGTTAAAATAAATTGCACAGTCTGTATTTTTTATCGAACACAGGATGTCCAATCAGACAGCGCTTCGGTGCCTTAAAGCGCCCATGTGTCAGCTGAGGCTGATGTCGAGGCTGGTAGTTGATGCACTGTTTATCAACATCCAGGAAAGCTGTCCACAGCTGGATGGCCTCTGTCAACAGCAGGTCAGTGAGGTATGGAACCTCACGAAGACCTACCAAGTAAGTAGCCAGATCCTGGACCTTGTCCCACCCAATAATGCTATCAGGTCCAATGACTACTCCTTGGTAAATGCAGAATACATTTAGTATATGTGGAATGAAAAAAGACTAAATCAAATAAAGTTCTTAATGTATCTTACCTGAGCCTCAACAGAGAGACTGTCTCCAGAGTCGGATGGCTGTGACGGCACTGAGGGGGCTGGGCTAGAAAGCTGTCCTTCTCCACCAGCTGATGTGGACGGCTCAGCCAGTGCTACTGATGCAGAGGCGAAGATGAGGGGCTGTTTCTAAGATCACGGCAGGGGTCATCCTCATACAGCACTGGAACTGTGATGTCCTCCATGATCTCCTCCTCAAACCCCTCATCATGTAGATCCTGGTCATCTACCTCCTCCACCAGCCTATCTTCCTCCTCTGGGTTCTGAAGCACCGCAGTCAGGGTTTTGCCGGTCTGGCTGTAAAGGTGCTCCATTCCCAGCAATTCACCTTAAAGAATAAAACAATAAAAAAAACATATATTAAATAAAACTAATAATAAAATAAACATTTAGATTACCATTTTATGTAGTACATTAAAAGCTTAATAAATAACTTCCATAAAAGCTAATTAATGGATTTCTTGCCTGTATATGCTCCAGGAGGGTGATAGCGGTTATCCCAGGGCTTGCGTCCTGAGACATATCTTTTGGTGGACAATGAGCATTGTGTTTTTCCTCTCTCTCTCCCTGCAGGTAACTGTGTCCACCTGGTAGCAATCATTGGATCTTTCTAGAGAGGAGAGAGAGTATTTAACCTGAACTGCACTTCAAACCAGTGATGGTGGTGTCAAGTGCAGTGGCTGAGCTTTTCTCCAAATTCAGACCTGTTGTTTGTGAGAGCTTTACAGATATGATTTAGCTTAATTAGCTCCTGTGTGGTGAAGCTATTGGAGTCAGACTTTTACTTTCCATGATCTTCTTGATAACATCTAATAATTGACCTAAAGAGAAGTGAGTCTGGTTGATTTGTTTGTTTGTATTTTTGACGGTTAAGTAGGAAGGTGGGTGCCATTTTGTTTTGGAATCAGTTTTCTCCTGTTTTTGTTTAGAAAAAAGGAGTTAGTTTGTTTGTGTATTTTTGTTTCTTTTATTTCAGATTAGCAAGAGAATATATTAGGGGTTAGCTTTTTTTTTTTTTTTTTTTTTTTGGCCTTGCCCCCTTTTGAATTAATACCCTGTTTTTCTTTGTTATATTTTGATATATGTAAATAAACTTCTCTTTTTCTTGATTTGATCTTGTGTCTAAGTTTTCTAGCCATTCTGTTTAAGGAGATGAGTTGTCTCTCTTATTTTTCCAGCCATTGCACATCATCCACCACCAATCATTTATTTTCTGTTGCGGTCATATCCCTAGACCCAAAAAGACCGTAACAGGCTCTAAATGCGTATGATTGGCCCGTGATGAACGAGTGACTCAGACCCGATAGAGGACTCGAGAGATGAACGGATCAATTCTTTTTTCGGCTCTAAATGCGTATGATTGGCCCATGATGAACGAATGACTCCGACCCGATAGAGAACTCGAGAGATGAACGGATCAATTCTGTTTTCAGCTCTAAACGCGTATGATTGGCCCGTAAGAAACGAATGACTCAGACCCGATAAAGGACTCGAGAGATGAACGGATCAATTCTTTTCTTCGGCTCTAAACGCGTATGACATGACATGGAGTCCCAAACTATTGTGTTGTACTGATGTCTACATCTACAACAACCATAAACCCAACCTCAAAGTAACCTGTCGTGTTTTAGCAACATCCACACCAACCATAACCATAAGCTCACGGTAAACTTTAGAGTTCTGTAAAGGTCTGCGTATATTACTTTAGTGGAGCCCGGATAGCTCAGTCGGTAGAGCATCAGACTTTTAATCAGAGGGTCCAGGGTTCAAGTCCCTGTTCGGTCATGTAAGGCTCATTTTGTGGAGCCACAGCTTTTGCCGTTAAGCTATCGCTTGATTAAAGTTTCATCTGGATGCACAATACGTGTACTAGG